GAGGTTTTCCCAAGTCCCCTAAGGCATCACTAACAAGTTACTCTCTGCTTCTTCAAGAATATTCTACACTAGGACTGAGGAAAGTTACAAGGTAGTAAATGAGCAGTTTTGGCTTTGACTTGCAATTTTTTTTAAGTACCTAAAAATAAACCATGATTTGCAAATAAATAGGAGTGTTCCAATGCCATTTACTAAATTAACTGTTTCTGAGGAAATAGAGAATGCTCTGTTTTTGTGCTCCAGGCTGCCTGATTGTGGTGTGGTGCACAGCACAGTATCTTCACGCCGGTTCATTTGGAGGCAAGCATCGCCTCTTAAGATGATGGGGAGATTCATGTTTTGGAAATGCATTATAAATGAGATTAAAATATTTATGGTTGTTTGAGAGCCTGAAATATCTCCATTGGACCATGGCTTTTTCTCTTCATGTTTGAAATGCCTGGTTAGAATATTATCAGGTGACCTAAACACTCAGTATTCACCTCAAGGAGCCAACAGTCAAAAAACAACAAGAACAAAAACCAAAGGCAATTTTATTCATTTCGGTTGCCCTTAGGTTTATTGTTTGTAAATTGTAGTCCGTGACCTTGCTGATCACAGGAACCTCTAGTGTAGTGGAACTTGATAAAAGAGAGCTGATGTAGACCCTTCAGACTGGGTGGACTGGCCATGGATGGTGGATGTGAATGGACCGGCCTCTGGAGACCTGGACTGAGTGGCTGAGGAATGTGGCCTGCGATACCAAGCTGGGAAGAAGCTGTTATAGAACAGCACCATTGTGCTTGCATAGAACCAGCTCATACTGATTTTCCATTTGCTTCAGAATTTCCTCACTGTTCCCCATGGGAATCTTGATATATATGTTGAGAAATAAGAGCTAAGGCCAAAAGCTGAAATGCTGCAAATGATTTCTAAATGTTAGAATAAACTTTCAAACCAAGTGTGTTTATTAAATGATTCCCTACACAGTACAGGGAGCACTGTGTCTGAGAAGGACTGTAACCACAGCCTGATTATCACTGAATCTTGTTGCCACATATAGTAAAACCCCCAGATTTTCCCCTAAGCAAGCCTGGACATGCCAACCAACAAAGAGATTGCCTGAAAGCCTTGCCCAGAAATTTCATAATTTAAACTTGAGACAGAAAGAACAGAGGCAAGATGGCATCCTTTGATATTATTTTCACAGTGGGTTGCAAGTTAAAAAAATAAATTACCAAGTAAGCCCTGTTTTCTTTTATCTTATTTAATACAATGCTGTGCAGCAACAGTAAGCTAATAATTAAGGACCATTCTGCCTCCTCCAGATGCTTTGATCTACAATGGCATGACTCTGTATTTTTGTCTGGTTGAGTTTCTAAGCTCTTATTAGTGTCCATAAAAACTGGTCAAAATCAAAAGAGCAAAAAAGCAAAACAGCAACAATGAAAACCCTACCTGCTTCTGGGAAATGGAGGATTTTGTCTGAAATTAAATATGCATAACTTTCATTAATCATTTAATTTCCAGCCTCATATAGCTTGATGTCTGGGGATGCTACTAAAAAGTAATCAAAATATATACTATTGATAGTAGTCCTATGACCGTAATTAGGATTTCTATGGCCAGTTATCTAATGTAAGTCTCCAGGGGAAAAAACAAAACTCAGCAAAATGAGTGTGCATAACTCACAGATAGTCACAGCTATGCAAGATTTGCCGTTTGGTTAGTTCTTTCAGCTTTTAATTTTTTATTCTATTAGAATATGGGAGAACATGAAATTCTTTCTCATTCATAACTATTTTAGAAAATCCCACGATTTGTTGGCAATTCAAGTACAACAAGGGCCACCCATGTATTTGCCGTTATCTGAGAATGTGATAATGTGACTGGGAATTCTGATAGATGTTGAGCTTCCTGATTTGATCATCCAGTTTGCTTTTCTTTTGTTCTCTATTGATCATCTCTTCTAGATTAAAAAAAAGATTCTTAAACAATGTAATTTCCAAGAGCACTTGTTTGAGCAGTCTTTTGTTTTTAATCGTTTTCTGCTCCCTTATTCTACTTCCTTCAAGTACCTTTTGCTTTTGTTTGTGGTGGTGGTTTGAGTTGGAAACAGTTTCTTTAATTCTGGAGCCCTTCCTTTGGTGTCTGGTGCCCCATAGCCAGGCACGGGCATTCATTCTAATAGGAAGGCACTAAGGTCTGATGGCTGGCCTTTCCTCTCTCTCTCTCTCTCTCTCTCTCTCTCTCTCTCTCTCTCTCTCTCTCTCTTTTTACTCTTCAAACTCTCTCTCTCTCTCTCTCTCTCTCTCTCTCTCTCATTTTACAATCTTCAAATGCAGCTTTCAGGAGGCTTTTCCTCTTGAGCTACTCCAGCCAAAAGAAGAATCCCCTGCCGGGAGGTTCATATGTTTGTCTCCCTCCATTCCACTCCTCTTTCCAGCACCTTGGATTCCAGAGCAGGGCTAAGGATAGGAAGACAGAGAAAGTAACAACTTTGCTTTGGGAAGATAAAGACTCTGGTTCAAACAGCTCCCATGGTTTTGGCTCTGCAACCTTCTACCCACCGAGGCACTTGTTATCTTTAAGAGAATGAAGTCTGTCTTCTGAGTATCTAGAAAGTTGAACCTCATTAGCACATCCTTCTGTAGGAATGTGGGGTACAGTTGACTCTGCTGTTTTCACTGGGCTATTCACTATTCTAGTTTTCTTTCCATCCCCCAGTATATGTCGACAACTCACATCTGTGGCCATCTCTTTTGTGATTCTTTGCCCTGTGGGGTTTACACTATTTCTCCTCCTAATCTATTCTGTTCCTGCCTTGTTATTGAAAAGGATAGTGATAAGTGAATGTCAGGCACTGTACAGAACCCTGGGACACAGAAAGAGCAAAGCACAGGTTCTTGCCCACTGGTGTTTATCTAGCTGAGGTAAAACAGCCCACTGACAAGGGTAGCCCTATGAAGGGACACTCTGAGAGGACACAGAGCCAGGACGTTCTTCACAGAGCCAGCTGTATCATACATGAGGTGATGACATACTGCACCCTGACTAAAGTCCTTCTCTTTTGCTTAGGTTAAGCTAAAGTTTCTTTCAGAACTCAGATTCACTAATTAATCTAATAATTGATCTCTCACACATTTCTTTCTGCTTGAAATCTGAAGGGATCCAGTATCTCTTCACCTTCACTTAGCCTGAGACAGGTTTCCAGTTCTGTGAGCTCTTTAACATTTGATGCAAAATATGTGGGTGTGCTTTTTCCTGGGGATAGGGTCATAGGTTTTGTTAGCATCTCAAAGGAGTCTGTGATCCCCAGGACGATGACTAATTAGTATTTTAGATTTCCTTAACCCAATTAAGAATCTTTTATCTTAACTACATTATTTTTAAAAACATTTGGATTACTGTAACCTAGAGATGTGTTTAGTTACTGCTATATGCCTGCCCCCCGCCTTGGCCCCGCACCCTTCTTCCCGCATCCTGTCCCCATATTCAGAAATGGGAGCAGTATTGGGTACCAACATCCTGACTTTCCTTATTCATAATTATTTAGCAACCCCATACTTAACCCATATCAACAATATAGGCAACCCTATTCTTAGCTGTAATAATATAACATCATCAAACAGAATTAGAAATTCAGGGCTGGAGTGATGGCTCAGCAGCTAAGAGCACTGGATGTTCTTGCTGAGGACTGGGTTTGGCTCCCAGCACCTACAAGTTGGCTAACAACAGTCTCTAACTTCAATTCCAGAAGATCCAATACCCACTTCAGGCATTGCACAATACAGATGCACTTATATACATGCAAGCAAGACACTTATACACATTAAATAAATTAATTAATTAAAAATCAAATGAAAACACATTAAGCTGGGTATGGTGGTGTATGCCTTTAATCCTAGCACTCAAAAGGCAGAAGCAGGTTGATCTGTGGGAGGTTGAGGCCTGTGTAAGCCTGGTCTACACAGCAAGTTCCAGGCCAAATGGTGCTACAGAGTGATCCTATATTTGAAGAAGAAGAAGAAGAAGAAGAAGAAGAAGAAGAAGAAGAAGAAGAAGAAGAAGAAGAAGAAGAAGAAGAAGAAGAAGAAGAAGAAGAAGAAGAAGAAGAAGAAGGGGGGAGATATGGGAGGAATTGAAGGGGAGGGAGTGGGCATGGATTTGCTCAAAACACCTTATATGCATGTATGAAATTCTCAACAAATTATTTTTAAAAATCAAGTTCAATGCACATTTAGTGAGGACTCTACACATGGGATGTGACACTCCATGCTGTGGGAGAGACGGGGAACGGAATGAAGATGAATTAAACTTTCATGAAGAAGTTCAGAAAATATACAAAGTGTTAAGGGGATTTGGAGAGAAAGTCATCAGTTCCCAAAGGAGAGTACATGAGAAATGTTAGAAGGCCTTCTGCATTGGGCAGTCTTTCTTATCACTGGCAATGCTGCAGATCCATTAGCCCTCCGTTTTCCCATCTCTAACATAAAGAGCTCGGCCTGGAGGCTGACTGCTATCAGAAATATAAAGAAAAAATAAGTACAGAAGAAACTTTGCCTTTGTCATAGAATAATAGAATAAACTCAGCTAATAGAGGAAAGCTGTACAAGTTAATATAAAAGCAAAAATAGACAAAACATGATCCACAAAATGTAAGATGATTTGAAAAGTAATAAGAAACTGTGACATTACTGTTCCTAGATTCTTTAAAAAATCGATTTTGGGGCTAAGCTAATACAGTATGTATATTTTCACAAACTTAAAGAAATAGAATTGCTTTGCTTGAAAGTCATATGGACTATAAAGTCTTTCCTAAAATGTACGCTGAGGGTATGTGTACATGCTGGTTTTACTTTTTGTAAAATAACTTGTGATTTAGTTATCTACTACTGATATGAGTCATAAATTTGTAGACGGCATTTAGGAAAATGTTTACCCAGTGGTTTCACATTCTCAGCAACATCTGTGCAAGTACATTAGCATGGGCTAATAATTATTTTACTCTCTGTTCTTAGGATGAGCCATCAAATTTCAGGACAGCTCAGGGCTTAGAAGAAGGCTCATCTAAATAAAGGCGGCCAAAGTGACATTGCAGGATTTAATCCCCCAGCTGCCTGTGTGACCAAAGGCTGATTTGCAAGACTCTTTCTCTTTGGAGTTCAGATTATTGAGTCTCCAAGTTCCTGCGACTTCACAGCAAGAGAAACACACAATGACGGTCAGCGATGTGCACCAGCCGCAGGACCTCGGGGGCCTCGGAGGGGCTTTTACACCCTGGATGCCTGGGCATCCGCGGAAGTAACAACTGGAGCCTTTAGTGCTGCAGCCGCCTACTACACAGCATCAGACTCCTCAGAAAGAGGTATGGTGATGCGGCAAGGGCCTGGCTGTCCTATTAGGACTTGGGAGTTGGAGGTGAGAGAAGGCGGGAAGGTCCTGGAGTGAGAGGAGCTGCTTTCAGCTGGGCTGGGCTGGGCTGGGCAGGCTCGGCATCGGGTCACTGGATCTGGAAGGACTTTTTGTCCCGTCTCAGAGCTCTCGCGGACACTGGGCTCCGAGACAGAGGCCTTGGCTTGCATCTCCTTCCTCCGCTCCTCTGCCACCTGCCCTGATGGTGGCTCTCTGTTGAGATGGAGATGTGAACCTGTGTGGACGATGACCGCAGTGTTTGCAAATGGAGGTGGCCTGCTGAACACGCACTGTGATAGGTGGGACCGGCGCGACAGCTTGGAAAGCAGCTGTCAGACCGAGTGCGGCAAGGAGGGTGAGGAGGACGAGCCCCACCAGCTGACACCCTTCGAGAAGCTGACCCAGGACATGTCCCAAGATGAGAAGGTGGTGAGGGAGATCACGTTGGGGAAACGCATAGGCTTCTACCGAATTCGAGGGGAAATCGGCAGCGGAAACTTTTCCCAGGTCAAGCTGGGGATTCATTCCCTGACCAAAGGTAGGATCATCTGTAACCTTTTGGGGCCTAATCGAGGGTGGGGTTGAAAGGCTAGGAGCCAAGGATGCAAGGACAGCTGGGGAGGGGCTACCACACCCAGCCCTGTGGCAGCTGCCCATTTTGGTCATGTCCATTCCCACAGTCACCATGAGAAGTCATTGTTTTTATTTTCCTTTTACAGATAAGGAAACTAAGATCCAAATAAGAAAATGTGGCTTCAGCAGTTCAGTCTGAGATGGTTTTGTGTTCAGATCTCCCCACTATAACACATAGACAAGTTCATTCAACTGTAAAAGGTGGTCATCCAATTGGGCCTTGGGAAGTGGGGTGGAGTGTGGATCCCTTCTCCATACAATGCAGTGTTTAAGACCATGATAATAGTTTGTTTGTGTTGCTGTGTCATTAACAATGGGCTGGTGTGCTGTAGGAGACCTCCCAGACAGCCAGGGTCTGGATAGCAGGGCCTAGGTTCCCTCTAACCAACTGCTGCTACTCCCATTCTGTCGGGACAGGGGCTTGGTCTCCCAGCCTTTTCTGCTTGGGTCTTTTTTGTACCACTTAGGTCTTCACACTTTCTGGGTTACTGGTCACTCTGAGGTCTCAACTATCAGTAACCAACACTCTGGCCTCAGGGAGGAACTGTATGGAGATCCCACACCCCTTTGCTGTCCAACCCCAACTGGGCATTTCCCCAGGGTGACCCCAACTTAGCTGAAGCTGGTAATTGGCATAAGAGAAAGAATACTGGCAAGTCAGCATGTTGAACCCTCCATCCGAAACCCATGAACTCTACCTCTTCTGATGCTGTCATCTTGGACCCAACCTGCTACCATGTCCCATGGTCTCACTTTTCTTCAATAAGAGATGTCTTTTGTGTTCTGTTTATTCTAGTCCCAATTCTGTGTCCTTCTAAATCTGTATTTGATCTACTCAAAAAGCCCCAGGACTGAGCACATACTCAGTGATTTACTGCTTGACTGTTCAAGGCCCTGAGTTCAATCCCCAGCACTTAAGGGGGAAAAAAAAAGCTCCATATATGTACACACATGTGTGCATGCCCCCAGCACACATGTATATCAGCACATACACTCAGAAGTCACTGGAGCTCCAAGTCCTCTTCTAGCTCTCTCTGAAACCTGACTATATATATTTATCCCTCTGCATCTCATCTTATTTGTGGGAGGCCACTCCGCAATGCAACTCGGTTCCGACTTGCAGAACTTCCACCTGGGTACCTGGATTGGGGGGTGGGGCCGGGGATGGAGCAAGCGACAAGAGAAATGGAGACAAGACAGGAATCTGATCAAGTCTCATTTATTGAAACACAAGCATGAGTTTTTATAGAGAATGAAAACAAAGGAACACAGACTGCAAACCATACATCAGTCAGAGCATAAGGGCTCTGACACACGTTAAAGGAGGAATCTCTGATTATAGAATAGAACCGTATGTAGAAAAGAGAGCAAGGCCGTGGGCCAAGGCTATCTAGCAAGGCTATCTGGCCCCAGCTTTAAGCCAAGGTTTTGGGCCAAAGTTGTAAGCCCCTTCTAGTGTATACATATTTAGCTGGGGTACAATAGTAATTAATACACAAGATCCTGGAGAGAAAACAGTGATCTGTTGATACGGAGATTCATTGCACCAGAAAGACGTAAGAGGAGGAGCATATAAAGGTGAACTAACGTAACGATTGTTATGACATATAAAAGAAGGAGAAACATAAACAGTAGTAACAAAACAAAGAGAAATATTGTGAGTAGGATTACGAAGTAACGGAATTGATGACATAGGAGGAGAAGGTATATTGCCAGCAACGGCAGTACTAAGTGCAGAAGAATCATTAACAGGAACAGCGGCCAGCAAAGGCTGAGTCAAGGAAGCACACAACATACATGATGAAGCATTAACATGAGAAAGTTTCATCAACTGCAAAGCAGAGTTCAAATAATTAGGCCAAAGAGCAAGATTAAGGGTGGAATTTGAGTTTGAACGTATGGCAGACTGAAGCTTAGTTTCACTTATGATAATGACTTGTTTTACCTGTTTATCAATAGCAGCAGGGACCAATTGGCGGGAAATATTTATGGACCCTGCTGGGAGTAAGGCAAACCCCGATGGAAGCCTATATCCCAGGCCCCTATTTCTGTGATCTCTATTAAAAATCTTTCCCTGGACTCCGTCCTGCCACCTGGCATTCCAAGGATCATTTATACGAATTATGAATTGACCATTATCATAACTCAATATGCCATTTTTGCTAAAAGCATCATGAAGGTGGCAATCCCAATACCTACATCCGCCATATGTATCACTATCTGCAAGACAGCTGCCTTTATTATCATAGGTGAAACATAGGAAAGTTTTGATTTAGAGGATAAAATAGATGAAGTGATTGGAATGACGATGGTTGCTTGACAACCCTTCACTGGGCAACAGGCAGTGCCGATGATCTGCATGTCACCATCAGAGTATGCTTTTCCTTCTTTAACTTGGAATTCCCACTGCATCACTGTCTGCGACCAAACAGAGCCAATTAGGAGAAACAGGATGCAGCAGACAGAAGCCATTGCAGTCTGAAAGAAAACAGAGAGAAGAAAAAACCATTTCTCAGGGAGCATCATCTTCCCTGGAACATTGATTAGTATCTATTTGCTTTACTAAGTGTTCAGGCAACCAACGGGCTGCGTCATGTTGTTGTGAATAAATGCAGACAGATCCTCTGCCCCATATTAACAATGGATCTGGGCCATGCCATGAATTATCCAGAGGGTCTTTCCATATGACCATGACATAGTGTCGTTTTGTTTCTGGATGCCAAAAGCGATCTGCAGCTGATTTACCATGAGCATCCAATTTTTAAAAATTCAAAATTAAAAGTACATGATTCAATAAATTCCTGGGGGATCCCCTACTGGGATACCACTCCCCCTTTTTTATTTTATGCAATGTAGTTTTGATAAGCAAATGAGCTCTTTCAACTATGCCTTGTCCTTGTGGATTATAAGGGATACCAGTAGTATGCTGTATAAAAAAAGTATTACAGAATTTCTGAAAAGCATGAGAAACATATCCAGGACCATTGTCCGTCTTAACACTCTTA